AAAAAAATTATTTTTATCTTCAACAAAAAAACACATTTAAAAATTAGCAATTTCGTAATCACCTTTTTTTTTTAAATTGCCGAAAATATAATTATAAAAAAGAAAACAATATTGAATTACAAAAATCAATATCTGTCAAATACGGTATCTAAAGACAATATGTGCAAATACAGTATGCTGTAAATACGATATAATGCAAATACGGTATGCTATATATATCGTATGATACAAATACGGTATGCTATAAATACGGTATGCTATATGATGCAAATACGGTATGCTATAAATACGGTGTGCTGCATATACGGTATGCTGTAAATACGATTTGATACATATACGGTAAGCTGCAAATATGGTATGTGTAAATATGGTATGTTGCATATATGGTATGTAAAGTGAATATACAGTATGAATGAATCCAGCTTCGTCCACTACAATAAATTTCAATACCGTATATACTGTCTACCGTATTTGCAGCTTATCATATATGCTGCCTAGTGTATTTGCAGTTTACTGTATATGCAGACAATTTACCGTATTTGCAGCTTACCGTATATACCGATTTTTGCACTTACAAATATCGAAAATGCAATACACCATACATTCACTTACTAAATCGAATGTCAAAAAAAAATTCAGATTTTTATTTTTTCAACGTAAGCATAAAATAAATATTAAAATATATGAAGGACAAAATATAAAACGCATATGAATATGAAAGTCGATTTATAATTTTGAGTTCAATCTTCAATTTTCCAATATTGAATTACACAAAAATTAGAAATATAATCTTCACATTCAATTCAATCACATCAACACTATCAAAGAGTATAGTCAAAATAGTTTGTATAACCTCGTGTATTTTTTATTCAAGCATGAAATATACAATCATATTTTTTTTAAATAACACAATACGGTTACAATTGTAAAAATAATTTGCAATCATTTTCTTATATCATGAAAATATTTCTAGATATTACTTCAAAATTTTTTCAAAAAACTAAAATTCATACGCCAATAAAAATAGGATAAATACAAAATTCGTGCAACGCACGTGATAATGACTAGTTTTAATATATTACCTATTCATACTTATGGGAAAAAATCAAATATTTTGACCATGAATGGATGTTATGATCAAAATAAATAA